TAACCCAAAATTTATGTGTATTATGCATGTGTTAAATATAATTACTAAGCACGAGGGATTAAAATATAGATTTTAATTTAAATCAAAATCAACAATTAATTTTAACCATATATTATATGAGTCCCACAACTTTTCATCAACATATTTAATCAATTTTTATCAAAATCTAATAAAACATTGATTTTAATATCCCCATCAAACAGAGGCTATGATAATTTAGATTGCCTTGAATTTTTTTTTATTAACTAGGAGAATGATCGTCCTTATATAAATTATGTCATAAATGTTAGTAATTCGGTTGACTTGCACAAATGACGTATAAATCGATTATTTCAAGTTGTTCTCGTGCTACTTCTTCTCCCTATTTTCGGTCCCTTTGTGCGAGGCCCATTACCTTCCCCTTTGCCGGCAAGTTGGCTATTGGTTCGACCCTTCGCTGCCTCGTTGCTGCCTTTCACTGACGCTTCTGTGCCCGTCTGCTTTCTCTTTTGGGTGTAATTCTTGGTTCCTTCTAGGCATGTTGCTTTGTGTGGTTTGGGTCACAAATTGAACCCTTTGTAATCCATTTTTGGTGCCATTTTTTTGTGAAATTGATAGGGAAGTGTTTGGTTTCATTCATAGCATATTATTTCATTGTTATTAATTAATTTGGAACCAACTTTTTATTGTTTGATCAATTGAAGATATTATTTAACTCCACACATTTCACTATATTAAACAACTTCATTTAAGGTTCCTTCTATTAATCACAGCAGTCGCATATATGTTCTTACATTAATGCATAGTAGCCCATGTCGAGTTGGAAACGGCAAAATATTTCTCTTATGGACAATCTAAGCAAGTCATTTTTTGGAAAATAAATCTCTCCCATGACTACCAACAATTAAATTTCACGTTATTGGGTTGATTATCGAACTTAACGACAACAGTTCACTAATGTTGTAGGCTGCAATCCAACAAGTCTTGTCTTTGCTTTATGCGTTGGAATTGTAAAGAATGCGAAACAAGGCTATATGGAATCAATCCACCTTGTACCTCTCTATCTACCTTCTTTTGTTTTTTGATGATTCATTATCTGTTGATGGCACGTATTTATGATCGTTAAATCATTTTTTATCCATACTTCGAAAAGTAATGCTACTTGCAGTCGCTCACTGCAGCAGTCACCCTATGCGGCACACACATGGCATGTAGTTATTTGATACATTAATGTGGTAGTTTTTTACCACATTTAATGCATCAAATACGCACTTGACATATGTGTGCCACATAGGACGACTGCTGCAGTGAACGACTGCAAGTAGCATTATTCTACTTCGAATTCATAATCTGCTTACAAAAGGTGTAAGAAAGCAACTAGGCTAGCTACCTAATAAAAAGTCCAAGACTGAGATGCATGAACTATGAGTACATTTGTTACAAACATCAAGATAGTTTTCTTGAAGTTCAATTAAAAGAGAAGCATCAAAATTTTGTAAAGGGGGCTAATTATGTGTTCAGGATATTCATCCAAGAACCAACAACGTGTCTACTGAACCTAAACTTTTAAGCAATCCTAGTATCCCATAGTGTACTTACGATGGAAATTTGTCGACAATCAAAAATTCCAATACTACGTAAATATCCACACGACAATAATAATATTATAATATATAATGTCATTAATATATAAGCATCAACATGTCATAAATTGTTGATATGAAATTATTACATAATTTAACATTCATAAGATTGGGAGCTATCTTCCACGATTTAAAAATTTGAGTGTAATCTGCATTGGTTTGACAGGTTCGAGACATCCGCTGCAAATTTCCCAAAAATCAATTATAAAAGATTTGTTGGTTTCAACTTAAATCACGAAATAAAAAAATA